TGTCAGATCACACATAAAAAGCACTTTGGATTGCTATTATCTGTCTCACCGAGACAGATCTCAGACAGATCCTGAGACGCTCCTGCCTGACATATTTATTTTATTCACGGAAAACAATCAAACTAGTTATTTCTCTTGGCGTTCAGTTTATACATTCAAACAGTACAGCACTCTATTTAAACTACATACCTGTTAATCTGTTATTTGTCCATCCATTTTCATCCGCGTATCCGGAGTCGGGTTGCGGGGGGCAGTAGCGTCGAGAGGCCCAGACTTCCCTCTCCCCAGCCACCTGAGCCAGCTCCTCCGGGGGGAATCCCAAGGGGTTCCCCGGCCAGGTCCGGTAAGAAGTCCTCTCCGACAGCTTCTGGCGTTTTTAAAAAGTATCCCAGGGGCACGGTAAGGGTCGGAGATGTTTAGTCTATTTAATTTCTGACTATATAAAACGATTTCTTCAGTTTTAAAGTGTGAAGTAAAATCCGACAAAGTAAAATCCAAGCCGATCCCGTTCACGTTCATGTTCATGTCTGCTGTTGAATTTCTGCCTCTGAATGAAAAGGGAACTTACCCCAGTCGAATGACACGCCTTTGTTTGACCCTTAACCAATCAGAGTGAGTCATAGTAATATATTAGTGCCCCGCTTGTTTTCACCTGTGTGTGAACTGTGAACAATCATGGCTTTGGCCGCGGCTCGGAGCGACAACGAGGTTTTCGTTCCGAAGAGGAACACCTTTTCTATAGTACCGACCGAGCACCGATTCACGTCATTTCAAACGGTGCCTCGTTTCGTTACCCATCCTTCATAACGAGAACTTGCCAAGAAAGCTGCACATACGCAAGAGCGTTATGTCGTCGGTCCCTGCGAGCGAGTTGTAAACAGAGCAGCATGGGTAGAAAGAAGAACGCACGCTAACGCTTGGGTCCACTTCACTAAATGTGATGGGTAACTGGGTGATGAAACCAGCGACAGACAACGATCTAAGTGAGACATCCGCATCTTAATCTGCTCCGGTAGGTAAATAAAATGTTTAAAATAACGTTACCTTGATATGTTAGCTTCCGTTTCGCTAATGGTGCGTTCGCTTTCTCCTCGGAACTCCGAATTTCCGACTAGATGAGCATTAACGTGCTCTAAAGTTTGGCTTCACTTTACTAAATGCGACGGGTGATTGGGTGAAGATGAAACCAGCGACAACGATCTAAGTGTGAGGCATCATCGTTTTAATCTGCTCCAGCAATTAAATAAACTGTTAAAGATAACGTTGCTTGATATGTTAGCTTCCATTGCCACCGTTATCAGTTAATGGTGCGTTCGCTTTCTCGGAAATTCTAACTTCCCAGTAGGAAAAATCAAATGAACAAAGACGGCCAAAGGAATGAAGATACACAGTAAAGATGTTTGCTTCAGTTTAATTATCAGCTTATAAAACTACAAGGACAATGTTAAAATACAAACAGTTGAATGTTATTTATCGTGATATTTATCAAATATTGTTATATATTGAGAAAAATATATATTTAATTATAAAAGAGAATTAAAATATGAAACACTCAAAAGTATCGAAAATTGGTACCGTTAAGTACCGTTATCGATTCGTAGGTACCGGGAATTAGTACCGAATCGATTCAATTGTCAAAGGTACCCATCCCTATGTTTATGTTTATGTATTTAGCAGACGCTTTTGTCCAAAGCGACTTACAAGTGATAAACGACATTTTGACCTTGAGGCTAACAACAATAGTAACAACAACAAAATGACATCAGTCATGGAGAGGAGGGAACAAGGAGTGGACAGTAGAGAGGGGGGACGGGTGCAGGCAAGGTGCTAGTTAAGAAGATGCTCTCTGAAGAGCAGGGTCTTCAGGAGTTTCTTGAAAATAGAAAAGGAAGCCGCAGTTCTGGTAGTGTTAGGAAGGTCATTCCACATTTGTGGAACGATGCATGAGAAAAGTCTGGATTGTCCTGAGCGTGGTGTAGGCACTGCTAGTCGACGATCCTGTGATGACCGCAGCGGCCAGGCCGAGACGTAAGCCTTTGCAAGAGGATTCAGGTAGATGGGAGCCGTACCGTCTCGGACTTTGTATGCTAGTGTTAGCAATTTGAATTTGATGCGTGCTGCTAGCGGTAGCCAGTGGAGCTCAATGAACAGAGGGGTGACGAGTGCTCTTTTAGGCTGATTGAAGACCAGACGCGCTGCTGCGTTCTGGACCATTTGAAGAGGTTTCACAGTACAGCCTGGAAGACCAGTTAGAAGAGCATTGCAGTAGTCGAGGCGGGAGATGACAGTAGATTGCACCAGGAGCTGGGTGGCATGTTGTGTTAGGTATGGTCGGATCTTTCGTATGTTGTACAACGCAAAGCGGCATGAACGGGCAACAGAGGCAACATGATCTTTAAAGGCCAGGTGTTCATCAATCACAACACCCAGATTTCGAACTGCCTTTGAAGGAGCCAGAGATAGGAAGTCATTCTGGATTGAGATATTGTGCTGTATGGATGGTTTTGCTGGGATGACAAGCAGTTCAGTTTTAGAGAGGTTGAGTTGGAGATGGTGGGATTTCATCCATTTTGAGATGTCAGAGAGACAGTTTGATATTTGTGCTGAGATAGTGTGGTCGTCCGGTGGAAATGACAGATAGAGCTGGTTGTCGTCTGCATAGCAGTGGTAGGAGAAGCCATGTGATCGAATGATCTCACCCAGTGAGGTGGTGTATATGGCAAAGAGAAGAGGTCCCAGTACGGAGCCCTGGGGGACTCCTGTGGCAAGGTGGTGCACGGTAGAGGACTGTCCAAGCCAAGATACGCTGAATGATCGTCCTGTGAGGTAAGATTCAAACCAGGCGTGTGCTTACTCTGTGATGCCCATGGTAGAGAGTGCGGACAAAAGGAAGCCATGGTTGACAGTGTCAAATGCAGCCGATAAGTCGAGCAGAATAAGTGCTGAGGATTTGCCAGTCGCTCTAGCTTCTTTTAAGGATTCAGTCACTGCTAACAGAGCAGTTTCAGTGGAGTGGCCCTTTTTGAACCCAGATTGGTAAGGGTCAAGCAGACAGTTTTGTGAGAGGTATTCTGTAATTGCTTGAAAGCCACCCTTTCAATGATTTTGGACAGAAAAGGGAGGAGAGAGATAGGTCGGTAGTTCTCCACATGATTTGGAGGAAGAGATGGTTTTTTTTAGCAGCGGTTTAACCTGAGCAGGCTTGAGAGAGGTGGGAAATGTACCGGATGTCAGTGAAGCATTGTTCACATGTGTGACTGCTGCGACTACTGTAGGAGCAATAGCTTGGAGCAGCTTAGTTGGAATAGGGTCAAGTGGGCATGTAGTAGGGCGGCTGCACGTGAGAAGCTTGGACACAGTTCTCAGTGACAGGGGAAAAAGAGGAAAATGAAGCAGTACGGTCTGAGATGGTTGGGCTTGAAGGAGATTGTGGTAGTGAATGTTCAGGAGTGGCCAGTTGAGAAAACTGTTTTCTTATCGCTGCCTCTTTGTCAGTGAAGAATGATGCAAAGGTGTCAGCTGATAGATTGTTGGTAGGAGGTGGAGATGGAGGGTTGAGCAGAGATTTGAAAGTTGAAAATAGTTTCTGAGAGTCAGTAGAGCTGAGAATTTTGTCAGTGTAGAAAGCGCATTATATGGAACTGGTTTGGTTTTTCACCAGATGACAATGAGCAGCGAAATGTCATTTGCAAAGTTTGCAAGGAGAGCGTCAAGGCAAGTGATGGCAACACCACAAACTTGTTTAATCACTTGAAAAGAAGGCATCCCAAACAATACAATGAGAGCCAGCTGGCAGCTAAAGCTAAAAAGCCTGCGGCTAGTGCTTCTTCCAGGCAGGAAACGCTAACAGAAACACTCACAAAACTCACTCCTTACGACAGAGACAGCAGACGATGGAACAGCGTGACAGATGCAGTGACGTACCACTTGGTTAAAGATTTGTGTCCCGTGCGAACAGTAGGAGCGGGATTTAAGAAAATGATAAAAACATTGGATCCGCGCTACAAGTTTTCCAGCCGCAGGTATTTTTCGAACACCGCCATTCCACGCATGTACGCTGAATGCAAAGTGAGCGTTGCAGAAAATATTCAGAATGCGCAGTTTTTTGCTACCACAAGCGATCTCTGGTCCAGCCGCACATCAGAGCTGTATTTGAGCTTAACTATCCACTACATGAGCAACTGGGAGCTACATAGTATTTTGAACAAGTTAATGTTTGCACAATACGTTTGCAATTGACATGTTTGCACTTTAAATATGTTTACGATTTTAATTTATGTTAAGTTACTTGAAAAACGAGAAAAACTGATTTTTGTAATTGTTTCTCTCAGGGCTTTTATCATCTCTGGTGTGAGTTTAAAATATAAGTGTGTTAGCACTGTGTTGATTATCCCTAATATGAATAAATGTTTGTTTATTCAATGTTTCTCTTCTTTAATACGCAATTGAAGTTATGCTATTCATGGATAAAAAATCGTGATGAAATCGAAATCGTGATAAAATATTGGAAAAACCGTGATATTCTATTTTTGCCATATCGCCCAGCCCTAGTAGGCTTAAATAAGTTTAACTTCAGCCTATAGAGCTCCGGACCCCACGTGACTCTCAGTTAGTGGTGGATTATTTTGAAACAATTCTAGAAATGGGATAATGAATGACTATAAAAAATGTATAGAAATAAATAGTAAAACTACATTTTATATAGCGCCTCTCAAGATAAAATTCTTGAGGCATTTCACAACAACAAAAAAATTATATTTTTATTTCAAAGTTTATGAGAAAAAAATAACACAATTGTGTTTTTAAAATGTAAAGAGAGAGACAGGAAATTATTTGTAAAGAAGGAATTCAGTGGATACAGAGAAATGCGTACTAAGTAGAGGGAGAAAAATAAGGAGAGGGTGATGATGACGGCCAATAGACGAGCTCTATTACCTTCAAAATGACAAAATATGTATTGATTCTAATCATATTCTTGTGCTTGTATTTTATTTTCATAGGGATGATAATTTGGAGGAGGTGATGGAACAAGGTGAAACTAAAAAAGAAGGATCTTCACAAATGTAAGTACAAGGTTGTATCTGTATTTGGCTGTCACATTTGTCAGGAAAAGTAAACAATAATTACTTTTTTAGGTTATCTTGTCTGGGAATTGAAGCAAACATTGACGAGGAAGAGTTAAACAATATTCAAATCTCTGTGTAAGTATTCAGATGTTCATAAAATGTGTCTAATTTTCCATACTAAAAACTTTATATTGTGTTTATTCAGGATGGAGTCATCAGATGACACATGGTCACCACACAGAGAACCAGAAGTTGATTCGTCTTCAGAGGAGGACGAAACCATCGAGATGGACAGCGGTACTGATGACAGCGGTGATGAGGACTACACACCTTATATACACATAAGGTAATTCCTTTTGTTTAACATTCTATAAAACTGCAATAGCGCATAGTTAATAAAAAGCTTTTGTTCACAGGACTGGAGCAGCATTACAAAAAACATTACAACTTGAGACTCTGCAAGAAATTAACATAGAGGATACAGTTCATGACTGTAATATCCCAGAAGCAACTGACCAACGTTTGACAAGCAAGAAAGGTCTTCCTCGACGCTACAAGCTAAGGCCTGAGGATCCAAGGCGTTATGGTTTGCTGTCCGGAGTTCCTGCACCATCAACAGAGGAACTTCTACAACACCTAAGGACTTGCGGTGATGGTAAAATAAAACATTATCTGCCTTACATCTTCCACACAATAGTCCATTGCTAATTGAGTTTATTTTTTATTTACAGGTAAACTTTGCCACAGACATAGGTGTTGGGGGAGGCAAGAGAAAACCATAAACATTCTTTATTTTTGTTTCCTGTGTTTTTTTTTTTTTGTTTGTTTTGTTTTTTTGAAAATAAAGATATATTTTGGGGAAATAAGGACTAATAATTTCAAAATTTATGTAAAATGTTGGAGGTAGACATAATTTTTTGTTGTTGTGCAGGAGTTTTAAAATTTATGGTATTTTTACAAATACAAAAAGTTATGCTTTAGACCACTTTATTAGAGCATCAAACAAAAATATCTAAAAACAAACTTATGTAAAATATCAAATATATACATTTATTTACAATCGTCTTGGAATAAAACCAGTGTAGTTACCATTGGGGTCAGGGAATTTTGCAGAATAAACTCCTCCATGTGTGGTACAGTTGAAATACATGTCTGGGGAGGCTGTTGGCAGCATTTCTTTTCCAAATCAGTTGGCATATCTCTGCAGTGGGAGCATACACTCCATGAAGGTTGATTGGATGTTGGAGGTGTTGTGGCAGGTGGACCAGAGAGGGCAAGTACATCAAAGAGAACACCAGGGTCTCTGTCCAGCACCATGGTAAGGATGTCAATAGCCTGCTGAGGGTTCAGGTTCTGTATGTGTTGCTACAAAAGTGGAAAGAGATGCTACAGCAACAGTTTTTAGGATAATTTAGTGTAATTTTGTTATGCTTACACGTTCAAAGTCTATTCGCTCGGAACAAAGATTCCGAACTCGAGAGAGATCTTCATCTCCAAGGTCCACAGCTGAGTGTCTCACACTTCTTCGGCCTCTGGATGCACCGTGGCCTCTAGACCCCACGGCCTCTGGATGCACCACGGCTTTGAGATGATGGTGGGCATCTCCTTTTTGCACCACGTCTTGAGGATGCAATAGAAGGTTCAAACTCTTCCTCAGAGGATTCCTCTATCACTGAACTCTAATTTGTATTAGAATAAAAAAAATTATACTAATATAAAAAGTACTCTTGCATATTAATCAATTTTGACACAGATCAGGTTTACATCTAGTCAAAATTTGGGCTAAACCAACAATAAACAGAAACTATGAAAACAACCATGATTATAGGAGGACTACACAGAATGCAGTGTTTATTCATGATTTCCACAAATTATTTATATGCTTTGATATATTCATCCCATCTTGAATGGCAAAGCAATTAAAAATAAGCTAGTTACTTGTAATAAAATGCTAACAATTTGATAGGATTAATTTTATTTACAATATAGATTGCCAACTGTTACTGGTATTTTAAAATATAAATATATTTATAGATATTCTTTATAAAATGCCTTTTGTAAACAGTGTTTAATGTGCTGGTTAAATACAACTTTCTTACCTCAGATAACTCCATTGCTAACACTAGCTCAGCTCTATTACAGGTGCTGGCCAGTAAATTAGAATATCATCAAAAGGTTGAAAATATTTCAGTAATTCCATTCAAAACGTGAAACTTGTACATTATATTCATGCAATGCACACAGACCAATGTATTTCCAATGTTCATTACATTTAAATTTGATATTCATAAGTGACAACTAATGAAAACTCCAAATTTGGTATCTCAAAAAATTAGAATATTCTGAAAAGGCTGAATATAGAAGACACCTGCTGCCACTCTAATCAGCTGATTTACTCAAAACACCTGCAAAGGCCTTGAAAAGGTCCCTCAGTCTTGTTTTGAAGGCACCACAATCATGGGGAAGACTTCTGACTTAACAGCTGTCCAAAAGACAATCTTTGACACCTTGCACAAGGAGGGCAAGACACAAAAGGTGATTGCTAAAGAAGCTGGCTGTTCGCAGAGCTCTGTGTCCAAGCACATTAACAGACAGGCGAAGGGACGGAAAAAATGTGGTAGAAAAAAGTGTACAAGCTCTAGGGATAACCGCACCCTGCAGAGAATTGTGACGACAAACCCATTCAAAAATGTGGGGGAGATCCACAAAGAGTGGACTGCAGCTGGAGTCAGCGCTTCAAGAACCACCACGAGGAGACTCATGAAAGACATGGGATTCAGGTGTCGCATTCCGTGTGTCAAGCCACTCTTGAACATGAAACAGCGCAAGAAGCGTCTCGCCTGGGCCAAGGACAAAAAGGACTGGACTGATGCTGAGTGGTCCAAAGTTATGTTTTCTGATGAAAGCAAGTTCTGCATTTCCTTTGGAAATCAAGGACCCAGAGTCTGGAGGAAGAGCGGAGAAGCACAGAATCCACGTTGCATGAGGTCCAGTGTAAAGTTTCCACCGTCAGTGATGGTGTGGGGTGCCATGTCATCTGCCGGTGTTGGCCCACTCTGTTTCCTGAGGTCCAGGGTCAATGCAGCCATCTACCAGGAAGTTTTAGAGCACTTCATGCTTCCTGCTGCTGACCAACTTTATGGGGATGCAGACTTCACCTTTCAACAGGACTTGGCACCTGCACACAGTGCCAAAACCACCAGCACCTGGTTCAAGGACCATGGTATCCCTGTCCTTGATTGGCCAGCAAACTCGCCTGACCTTAACCCCATAGAAAATCTATGGGGTATTGTGAAGCGGAGGATGCAATACGCTAGACCCAACAATGCAGAGGAGCTGAAGACGACTATCAGAGCAACCTGGGCTCTCATAACACCTGAGCAGTGCCACAGACTGATCGAGTCCATGCCACGCCGCATTACTGCAGTTATTGAGGCAAAAGGAGCCCCGACTAAGTATTGAGTGCTATACATGCACATTCTTTTCATGTTCATTCTTTTCAGTTGGCCAACATTAGAGAAACAAACATTTTTTCATTGGCCTTTAGAATATTCTAATTTTCTGAGATACCAGATTTGATGTTTTCATTAGTTGTCACTTATGAATATCAAAATTAAACGTAATAAACATCGGAAATACATTGGTCTGTGTCCATTGCATGAATATAATGTACAAGTTTCACGTTTTGAATGGAATTACTGAAATATTTTCAACCTTTTGATGATATTCTAATTTACTGGCCAGCACCTGTACAAGAAGATATGCTCCGATGTTGACTCTGCTTTTCCTACGCGTGCACATTGGGAGGCGCGGCTTTCGGCTCTTTCAGGAAGGGCGGGGGAGTGAGCAACAGCCGTTCGAATTTAAAAATCTCCTCCTCACCCTGACGGCATCATCCTGCGGACTGTGCCTTTAACGCACATTTCATTCATAATATCATAAACACAGGCCTATCATTCTTTCAGGTTTTTCTGAATTGTGTGAAATGGCCAAACAACAAAAGGAAAAACAAAACGATTTTGTGGTCCCCCCCCCCCCCCCCCCCCCCCATCAAGGTCAAATTGTTTAGTCCTGACTAAAGGAAACTTATTGAGTCAAGAGCCAAACAGAAGAGATGAACATAAAAAGGCTAACCACCAGGTGCCCGATTCAGGAAAAAATAGGAAAAAAAGATGAGAAAGATAAAGGTATGTACGCTCACATGATGCATGTTTTCAATTTTTTGAACCAGTTAACTGGGATTTTAACGGTTAAATTCGGTCAACTAATTGCTAACAGAGCTAACAGGGCTGAAATATTGAAACGAATATTCAAATGGTTCGAAAAAAATCCTTCGTGTTTTACTGATTCAAACTAGGATTTATTAAATGCTCGCTGCAGCCCGTGGCCTGCCTGAACAACAACAAACACATGTTGATCATGTTCACATATTAATAAATAAAACAACTCTACAAGCAGAAGAAAACTCCCCAGTCACCACTAACTATCCTGTTTATTTATTGCAGATGGCTACACTGATTATTTTTTACATGATTTGTTCTGTAAAAGTTGGCATTTTTGGTAGTCTACAGTTTTTTTTATGTCAGTTTAAATTACAATTTCAGAGGCAATTCTAAAATATTATGGATCATGATAAAGATCTATTGGAGATCTACCCCAACTTTTGGACTGCTCTGCCAGTCACTGTGGCTCAAGCTGAGAGGAGCTTTTCAAAACTCAAAGGGGGCCTCGCCCAGGGAGTAATTCCATGTAGACACATTCACACACTGCTCAACCGCAACACTGCCACAGATTTTTACAGCAGAAATATTCCAGAATTCCTCCCAGATTTGACCCCTGGATGCTCTGGAGAACTTCAGAAACCATGTGAAATAAATCAGATTGTCATGGTTCTGCCTTCTCTCTGCTTCTACTGTTATTTTCCCTTCATTGTTTGCAGGTGAGCGTGTTGGGGAGCAGCAGCTGCAGCTAATTACCATCAGCCTGGCCAGAGGATTTAAGGAGCGGTGCTGCCACACCTCAACGCCGGTTGATACTCTACTGTTGGGTACATCTAGCCACGTCCTTATCTGTGCCTTGACTTTAAGACTCGTTTACCTGAACTAACCCAGCTCTGCATTCTTGTCTGTACCAGCCCTGGATTCCCTCCACCTGCCTCAGGTGTGATTTATCACAGCGTCGTTCAGCTTCGCTGGCCTCCTGCTCTCCACCGCTCACCTGCCTTCCTGGATCCAGCATCTCCTCCAGCGACCATCTCCTCCCTGCATCAACCTGACTTGCCTCTCCCTCCTGCCCCTCGTCCTGCTCAACTCAGTAAGCCCGTTCCTCTCATGATTATTCATCTCCTTGTTCTCAGTTTCTAATCACTCTCACCGTTCTTAAGCCGGGCGTACACTGTGCAACTTTTTCACTCGTAGCACTCAGCTTCAGCTCAAACTGTACGACTTCCTCGCAGAGCAGATCTCACGAGTCATGCGCTCACACTGTACGACCCAGTTCTCGCATGCGACCTGACTGCTCACACTGTACGTCCGGTAGCAACATGTCAGCCCTAAAAATATGCTAAAAATAGCAGTTTTTACTCAACACATCAGACTTTTTTTGTCTTGTTTTGCCTGTTGTCCTTCGGGAGTGCTGCAGGAGGACACACAGGGATTTATGGGGGTTGGATGAGGAAAACGAAATAAAGAAAGTAAATCTGTGTTTTGTGATCAGTTTAATTTGACATGAACACGACAAACACGCTTTCTTAACATTCTTTGTGAGTAAAAAAAAAACGTGTAGAAACAAAAACGAACAGCGTGTGTTATTAGGGAAATAGCGAGCGACCGGCGTTGATGCAGGATTCCGCATGCGCCGTGTGCGGTTCTGATACTTTTTGGATCGTAGCTGCTCGCAGCTGCTCGCAGCGCCGCTTCAACAGTGCGATACTCTCACGAGGGACGAGCGAAATATTAAACACAAGTCCCTGCGACCTCACGACTGCTGATCGGCAGCTGGTCACGTGGTGTTAATTGCCTCTCGTAACCCCCTGTACACTATCAGCTGCTCGGCGCAAAACTCGCCCCGATGTCATGGATTCTCGCACGAGTGGAAAATCGGCTTAAAAAAGTGAAAAAAGTCGCACAGTGTATGCCCGGCTTTAGAGTTGGAGTTGCCTCGTTTCCTGTCCCGTTTGGATCAGCGCCCTCAGTTTTTGCTTTGTTTTCTTTATAAAATAAAGATTTTATTATCCTTTCTTACCTTATCCCTGAGTGATTCTTCATGTGGGGTAAGAAATTACCACCCATCATGACACAGATGACTATCAGAGCAGTCTCATTAAACAAACCAAAACTTTGGAAACTGGTGCAGTTGTTAGTCTGAATAAGTCTGAATAAGCCATCTGTTAGCTTCATCCTGCAGACTACAACAGGTAAAGATTAAATATTATAATTATTTCTACTAAAGGGTAAAACATCAAGTGTATTCATTCACATGTGCTTTTTACTAAACCTTCAAATGCATTGATTAGTTCCTGCTCCACCCACAGATGTGACCTGAAATGTTAGTTCTGTGTTTAACTCACACACACACACACACACACACGCTGCCTTCCAGGACCATTACGTAGTAAACACGGTTATCTTCATTAAGCCAGACAGCCTTGAGCTACCTCCCCCGCTCTCTGCGTCTGGCCGGTTAAGCTGTTCTACGGTTTAAGCTACGGAAAGCAAAACTTGGAAGAAGAAGTAAAGGATCAGGAGGTTGATCAGAGAGGAAAGCTAGAGGGTCCTTCTGTTTGAAAACTGATAAAAGCCAAAGAGACGTTCTGAGGACACACCAGGACCAACAGAACACTGTGTTTAATATTAATGACTCTGAAGTAAAGGAAACGTTCTCCAATAGGACGAATTTATTAAATAATGTAAAAAGGCTGAATGTCTTTTAGATTCACTGGTGAAGCATCCAGTAAATGACTCGGCAGATTTTCCACTGATGCTTGTTCCAGTTATTTAGGAAGCAAGAAGGGATTAAAAAAATTAAATTTATGGTATTCCAGGTTTAAGAGATAGAAAACATGGTGTTAACACATTTTAATCCAAATACAAGACAAAACTTTGTTGCTCTTGAACGTGTTCTTTTGTGGGCACCTGGTTACAAAAGAGACCTAAAGATCCATAATAAATGAGTCTGGTGGTATGATCTCACACTTCCAACTTTTATAAAGTCAAGTACATCAAATTAAAGCTATTAATTATAATTACTGAATTTAAAATATTTTAAACATCAAATATCCACTTGGACAACTGGTTTCCAGAGTGGGGGCGGACACACATTTACCCCCAACACCCACTCATATGGAAGCAAGACTGGTTCATGTGACCAGACCAGAAAGGGCTAGGTCAATTAACATGTAGGTGGTAGAATCTGGCCATAGGGTCATATACACATTTGCAAGGCCTCATGGGAAGAACCTCTCAGCACAGATGCTGCATTAGTCTGCAGGACTTTGTTGAGTTTAGTTATTAATGTTGGCTGATCAGACACAAAGGTAGAGAACAAAGGCTTCTGCATGAGCTTCCAGAGGATCACAGCATACTGTGACTTGTGTCATCCTGATCCGTGGTGTGACAGACTGCTGAAGGCAGGGTCACCTTTGCTCCGTCTATTCCTGTCTCCTCCTCATCCTTGGCGCCTTGTTTCTTTCAGCCTAAAGCCTGTCGGAGAACTGCCTTCCTCTTTCAAGAGACCAAATCTAATCCCAGTGAGACGTGTGGTCAGGATGTCATTTTTATCTTTGCTTTGCTTTAAACACACACACACACAGTCGTCTCTGAACTGAGAATAAAAAGGATTACCTGAAGTCAAATATGTTGCTTCTAAGATATCACACAACGTTCGTCTTGAAATGACCTATTGGTGCATTAATTGTTAGACGACTTGTATAACAGCTGCTATTAGCAGCAGAGATGCACCACAGCCCACCTGCAGTCGCTGCGCTCTCGGGATTTCTGCATCCAGCTCGTTCCAGCAGGAATTACAGACAGGCTGATATTTGTTTGATACGATGAACAAGAAATGTAATTTCCTGCCTAAAGCCAGATTGGATTAAATGAAAAGTTTTCCTTAGAATGTCATTGATCCTTGTGCTCCCTAATGCATTCCCTTTGGATGCTGTTAAAATGGCTACTGCCATATCTCTTCTTGCCTCCATCTCACCACTTCTTTTAAATGTGTTGTCTCTGCCCCCGAGAGGGGGCAGGGGCTTTTCTGGTTGCAGTCTCCCTGGGGTCCCTGCGCTCTGGGGCAGCTCCTGGATCTCTGGGACTTGGAGCTCCCTCCATCTCCTGTCCGTCTTTGGGGGGCAGATCTGTGGCCTCTCACACTCTCTATTAGACGCTCCTATAGAGAAACCTTACATAAACAAGCGCGTGTACACAGGTGCTCACATGGTGCTCTCATAAGTATGGACTTGGGCACGTTCAACACATGTCTTAAGGCTGTGGCTGGCACTTAATGCACTGTGATTTATTATCGTGATTGTTCAGTAAAATAATGTTGATTTTATATTTCTTCATCAGGTTGACGCAGTGATAGCTTGCTCCTGTTGTATTGTTGTGTGTCCCTTTTCTGCAGGTCTAGCTGGTTGTTTATTTTTGTGGACCCCCCGCCCACCTCTTCCTTTTGTCTCTTCCTTTCTCTTTCACCTCTGTCTCTGTGTCTGGTCGGAATTATAAAGCATCAAAAAACAATACAAATAAAGTTTTAAGTATCAGACGTGACATTAAAGCAGAAGCTCTGACGCTCCACCTGAGAGTAAATCTGTAACCCCTAAATTGCACTATCTGCGCTCCGCCCCCGTTTTCCGCCGCCGCTCGCTTCCGCACTCAAATTATACTATACCCATAGACGTCATTTTAGCCGGGGACACGTCCCCGGCAAAATTTGTGATTGGCAGCTGTGCCCTCCCCCCCCCCCCACTTTAAAAAATGCCTGCTGATGAGGATTTTTGTTTTACCAGCTCAGATCTTATACCAGGGGTCGGCAACCTTTTCCCATCAAAGAGCCATTATTACCCGTTTCCCACAGTAAAGAAAACACTGGGAGCCGCAGCGTTGTGGGCGGGGCCTACCCTCAGACAGCAGAGAGCTGCTCACAACCATGTGACAGCAGCCGGTACCGGTCGCTCGCATGGGCGTCGCACCCGTGGGGGATTCAACACCCACACTTTTCCTTCTGTTTTGCTCACCTCCACACCAGTCTGGTTTCTTTATGTCGCACTCGCTCTGTTTGCCTCATCTCCTTCTTCACCTCCCTCTTCTGACAGCCGATGTCGGGTTTCCAGGAGAGCAGGAGAGGGAGGGACGGAAGAGCTCGACTGAATTCATAATTTTACATCTTGACATTAGCTTTACAAAGTCTGAGTTTGATAACGTGAAGAACAACCATTTGCAGAGGTTTATAACAGGCGCGGCGCCAGGTTTTCATTTTTGGGTGGGCCACGGTAATTTTGGACGGACCTTAATAAGCAGTGACTTAGTGAAGCAGGCAGGTCGCGCTAGAAAATTTCGTTTAAAAAGACGTCATAAATGTGTTCCCCCGTCATTTTTATTTCTAAAATATGAAGTAAAAACTCCCAGTTTAATTTTCACTCATTTGTCATTAATATGTAGTCTACACCCGTGCGTTAAGTGGACCATCTTCCACTAAAAGCAAAGCTTCCTGCCCACCTCTCCAAATGCGTAAAATGTGCATCAGCTGCTAGTTAGGCGCGCCGCGCGCGCGCACCGTCAGCTACGTCAGCCCTGACAAGAGCAGAGCAACTAGAGAAAGAATAGAGGATAATTCTGTCTGGATGTGGATGGAGATTACATTTTACAGCAGCCTGATCATCATTTAAATAAGTAAACCATCACCTGCTAGTCCACGCTATCAGCATTATTTTAATTGGTGTGTGTGTGTGTGTTTTCCACTTCAAACACTGGTCTAACCAATCAGACCAGCGTGTCCAGTAACATATTAATGTTACACTTCATGTAGGCTAGGAACATTTTATCTGCCGTGGCCCGACCGCTTCTGCTCCACATGAACTTTGTGCGTAATCAAATGTCTCTACATGTGCTTTCTGAGCTGAAGAGCTATTCTGCCTCAGACTGGATACGTCATGCGTGTCCATATTAGAGACAGGAACGAGCGCTGTTCAGCCAAAGTTTCATAATTTCATAAAAAGAACATTTTTCCAAGTGACACGTCCCTCAGAGAGACCGGGTTTCCAGAACGCTTCAGTGGGAGGAATCAGCCCACTGTCCACCGTTGGCACTCCGAGCCGC